CTGAAAATTTTGATATTATCATCAAAATATAGTTCTCTATCTATCTATCTATTTATCATCTTCTTCTCTCCTAAGTAACCATGGTCTGAAGATCGCAGTTGCGAGGGTTTAACTTAACCCTCTGCGATATGCTCAGTACTTCAGCACAGCAGACGAATGTTTCGAAACTTCTTTTTGGAGCAATCTCATCTTCCACTTCTGAACTGCCTCCTGGAAATCGCTTGTTTGCCTCTATCAGCGCTAGAGTTACGGTTGACCTGTGAGTTAGAATTAGTGCTAGCGTTAGGATACGGTGATAGGTACCTATCAGAAGGAAGACTTCTTATAAAAAGAACCCAGTGGGAAAACTTGCTTGCTGACAAAAGAGACCGTTTCTGCCTGCAAGTATTTTCAAACAAAATGGTTGTCTGAATGGTATCACTTTTGTTACTACTGGAGGCCGTTTTTGGAGGAATCAGCAATTGGAAGTCAGACAGTATTTCATAGCGATAGGTCTACGTAGATTAGTAATCATAATGACCAGACGGGGTTTCCCCATATGTCACCAGCAAAACAACCCGTTGCCTTCAACTGTGATCCAAGATTCTTCTATGACTTTTATTTTGTTAATAGGGTCAATACCCATGTTCGATTAAATATGAAAATCGGTTATGGAATTCTGAATTTCAGTTTAACTTGGCGACGATCGAAGTCTTCCATTTTATGACAAGAGCATGCGTGCTTGTTTTAGTTGGGCAGCCTTTTGGATTAGGATTGCGTTTCTACTTATTCTTGAGAAAATAATGAATTTTAGGACTAAGATTAAGCTTAGGTTTGAGGATACATTTAGAGAGAGGGCATTAGGGCTTTGGTTTGAGTTAACATTACGGTTAGTGTTATATTTATTCGCCTCATGCTATCTTAAGGAGAACTATGGACTGCTGCTTCCTTTTAAATTTGTTAATCTGCCCCAGTACTTTGTTGGAAGCGGAAAACAAACAAGTGGCCCAAATCTTAATTTTCTCAAGGCCTTCCGCTACTTCTGTCCATCTGTCCTACTGCTTCAGGTAGTACAGAACCACAAATGCTTTCCTCACCTCAACTTTTAAAACGTCTTCATTCTGGACAGGGCTTCAGAATCGGCCAGAGGCGCCAGGTCATATGCAGCAGATGGAACAGCCCTTTAAACATAAGAGGAAATTGTTTTGGGGGTAAACAAGCGGGATTTTCCAAGCCCATGTATTTCCGACAAAAAATGTGTTTTCAAGCATACGTTGTTCTAACAACACAACTACCATTTTACAAGCAGTGTGGTTTGGCAGCTGATTTATAGCATCTCTGGCAGGTATTTTGGTCCCGCCAATTTTTACACTGGCCTTTGTACACTCAACTTGATCATTTGCCGAGGGGTATTGCTGGCAAATGCATGAAAGGCTGAACTGGTCAGTTTTTGTCCATTTACATTCATCAGATTTGCATACTCAGGAAGCGAATGGTGCAAGACGTTATCGAACCACTGTGCTACCGCGGATTTACCTATTTTTTAATAAGTTGCTTAGGAGCTCCAGTATGGAGACTTACAGTCGAGTTCACGATTTTCTGCTCGATAGATCACGGGACTGTACAGGACTGAACCCCATCTGCACATGCCATGACTGTGTTACCATCACCTATGACGGAATCTGAAACGTCAGGCAAATAAAACTCTTGTTCCAGTGATTTCATCCTCTTCTTGTGAACTGCTTCCTGGAACTCGCATATTCTCTACTATTGGCACTGTACAGTTAATTACATTGCAATTCACCACTTGAATTGTGTGCGAGATAGTTAATTTTCTAGCAGAGCGCTTGTGAAATATTACTAAATTCGGGCTATACATCAAAATCCAAACGCATATTCCATCGCATGTGTACCTCTTTTCTCTAACAAGACACTTTTTCTACTGTGAACCCCTCCCCCCCCTTAAAGTAGTGGCGAAAGCCATTCGGAAGTTAAAATGCTCTTCATGCTGCATAGTGGAATGGAATGCAATGTTAAGCGAAACCTGTGTCTTATAAAACGAAACTATAGTGCGACGGTCTGTAAAACCTTATTTCCTTTTCGCATAAATTTTAAACACGTGCATTTTATCACTATCATGTTTTTTTACCATCTACTTACCTCTTGAATTCTTTCGGTAGAAACATCCGAAGTTCTAGGTTTTGGACTGTTCAGGTCAAGGGATACTTGCAGAGCTTGTGTCGTCAATGGAACAACGCCTTCAGCTTCGGTCAGCGCCTGATACTCATGGACTAGTGGTGCATACTTTTTAAAGAGTTCCACGGTTTCCGTGCCCAGCAGCAAACCGTACACCTTGAAAGTAGATTTTTTACGAGCTTATTGACATACATCCAAATTTTCTATGATTTTTGGAAAGGCCGACACCAGAAGGCACCTCGTTATGGCAGAATCAATGATCAACATGGCGCGCTTTCCCTCAATCGTTTGCATGTGCTTATGTGCTGGTTTGAGAACATGATTGGTCCTTTTCACTTGTGACACCTGTGTAACACGACGCACCAGGCTGTCCTTTTCGGATATCGTTGGTAAATTATCCCACAGAGCCACTGAATGCTCTGACATCCTCAGTCTTGCTTACACGTTGACTTATTGAGGGTCCGTCATTTAAATCCCCGCAATCAATGGAGTCAAGGTCATAAGCCGTGTCGGCTTATTATGGCCAGGCGCGGGCATTTCTTATCCGAAATCCATACTTCCGAGTTCCTTACTTCTGAACCGCAGTGCCGCAGGGTTAAGTAGCATAACAGGTGAGTGATAAGTTTACCACACGTCTTTCTAACAAGGCAACGAGGAGGACGGTTAGGTTACTGAACGACCACTCTGTTCTAAAATGCCCAAAAAAACATTTGACAATTAGCATTGCCGTTTTAAAAAGTGCCGTGTGCCCAGACGTGGTACGTCCTAATTGGTGGATTTCATCCTAGACGCCAGATTTATCATTCAGTCACAATGAAATATTTGCTAATGCAATCTGACGTCTGAAGCTGAAGTCGACCACACCGTAGATTGCCTAACTCATAAAATGTGAAGATCACATTTCAGGGGGTGGTTTAACACACATTCGAAGCGGTTTTTATCTATCCGAAAATTTCAGAACAGGATTATTTTCAAACAAACTTCTACTTACGCTGCTTTATTCACTAGTTTTTTGCACGAACACACTACCTCTATATTTAAACTTGAGTTTACCCAGTGAGGCTGATTTTTCACTTTTTCTGAACAGGCCGTGTTTCTACAAAACATTATTTCTAAACAACATAATATTACTTCATAAACCACAATATTTGTTCTTTTTTATTAGGATGTTTACTTTACTGCCGTAAAACTTTGGGGGACGTAATTTGGACTGTTTTAGCGTACCAGGGATTTTCTGGTAAAACCTCCATGGATTTCATGAGTTAAGGCTGCTACTGTACATAAGATGGCATCTATACATAAATTTAAGATTCGGTCACTGTTTTCTAGAGAGTTCTAGTAGTAACTAAAAGTTATCGATCATATTTTCAGTGGCACTACTGCTTTGTGTCAGGTATGCGTAAAACCAAATCCAACTACCTTGTTGACAGCGGAAATACTGTCGTGTGCGAAGGCCTACAGCATGCATGGGCCAAACTAATCGTCAAGCTTAAGATCACACCTAATTAGCAGAAAACGGACATTTCACTTATACGTTTTTTAGGACAGTAAGGAAGATTGACTTTCATTCATCAAGTATCAAAGGAATTGTAGCACTTATCGAAAAAATAGAATCCGGTGTTCAATAGTTAGCTAAAGGCCTTAGTACATACGGTAGATGTCCTATCTCATGAAATGTCAACCATACTTCTGCAATATGTTCTCAATTCGGATAACTTTTTTAAGTATGTTTGTAATACGGATTGTCTCACAGTCTACTCTCAAGATATCTCATTAATGTTAGGATGCCGGCTTTCGAACGGGCTTCTTTCTGACCGCCTGCAAACTGTCTATTTTGAAAAAATGGCTACTTAAGTAGTTTGCATTTTCTCATTGATTTTCACTGCGCTTATAGATTCAAATATATTTTAATGGAACAAATGCATTAAAATATCCTTTCTTGTACTGGGTTTATAGAAGATTACGCCCTCTTCAAATTTTGTATTTTAGGAAAGAGTTCCCTTCAATTTTAGAAATCTTTCCAAATTGTCAACTAATTATGAACCCTACCGACCGTCACACCTTAATCAGAGGTTTCCAAATGAAGCAGAGTTGACATAGCCGTAATAAAATTCGGGAAGGGACCTGGATCACGTTGTATGTTTTATAAGCAACGTCAATAAATTGAAGAATACGATGCATTATTATTGTATACTTCGGGGTCTTAAAAAACCTCATAATAAGAAAAAAAAATCAAATCGAAAGGCACCCTTTCGTTGAGTATAAAATTCGAACAAGGCCTAGTTTTCCATCCAATGAATACAAGAAATAACATTTTTGAATGTTTTCTATAAGCTATCTTTGAATTTATGCGGCTAGTGATAATCGATGAGAAAATGCATACTAATTCAGTAGCCATTTTTTCAGACAATAATTTTTGCAGGCAGTCAGGAGGCAGCTCTCCCAAACGTCGGCATCCTGACGTGACCAAAACATCTCGAGAGTAAGCTGCTCGTTAATCAGTATTACTATATAGGCAACGTGTTCGAATCGAATGCACGTTTCAGAATTATGGTTGACATTTCATGCGTTGGGGGATCTATTGTACTTTGCGAAACGGGGAAATCACATGGACTGAAACTCTTCGCAATGCGGGTATCTCATTTCTCAGATTTCATCCCAAATGTTGTCTATTTATTCAAATGTTCGACCATCTTGCATGCGGGCTGCACGTTCTGCCTTTGTCTGGCTCCTGTGTTCTCATTGGTCCATTTATGAGCGCCCGGTGGGATCAGGTCCTCGCACGTAGACCGTCCCTGAGGGGCGCGCACAGCTCGGTAGCGCGCTAATGGATGACTCATGCGCGGGCATGCTAGGCGCGACTGAGCCGCGGATTGAAGGTTCTTTGCCGGCCGTACGACACGAGTGGTGCGTCATGTTCTGCCCCGTCCTAACAGTTTCTCTAATTACTACCTGTGCTGTCTTTTCATGATTTACCAATCGTGAATAGATCAAGGTCCGTATATTGTGTGCGTTTTGACTTCAGCTTTCTATAGCACACACAATATTGATTTTTCTTGTAGGCTGCTTGCTTTTCTGCCCACAATTTGAAATGAACGGTGAAAACGCCCTATAAAGTAAAACCAATAACAGTTTATGAATCATTTTTCCTTCACCTTTTACTTATGTAACCTTATACGCCTTTCAAGGAATCTTGATCTGAAAGTTAACTAAGCTAGCGAAACCGCGTTGATTTCTTCTGAAGACATTTTCTTCTCTATCGTATCCTGCTGCATTTTATGCCGTGAGAATAGCTTTCGGGGCATTACGAATATAGTTCCCAACAAGGGGGAGCTTGTCAATCAAATCAGCATGTAACTCATGACTGGAAGGTTGCCGATAACATAGTATACGAAACGTCTGCTCGCTTTTAATTTTATTGCAATTGCTCACCTTTTTTCATAACTATGGCCCAACTGCCAGTGTCCACAGCAGGGACATCCATTCATATTCATTCAGACTGTTGAACTACAGGCGTCCGCATTAAGAATGCGTTCTATTCCTATCAATCGGATGTGCGTATTCACATTTTAGATGATACTGTTATCATTACTAAATATAAAGTTGCTTCAATTTCGAGTTTTTGACTTCCGTCCTCCTGAAAAACCAGTTCACGCATTATGAACAGAAACAATCTGCGGTCATAGGGATGACGGCGCGTTTAAAGCATCGCTTTATGGGGATGAGGCTAACGCACACTGAATCCAAATTACAACAGTAAGATCGTCAAAACTGACCAGATCCATTACCGCTCTCTGAGGTTGTGCAGCAGGGGCATGAGCGTGAATTTGTGCACGCTGAAACAGACATGCACTACATCCGCTTCATTTCCTCCCTACACCCATCGTTTTCTGTCGGCCAGAAAAATCCAGGCGATCGGATGCGCGTGTACATAGATGCAATGAAAGACAAGGCCAGACAGTCTATCAACGCGTGCCACATAAGATGCGGTTCCTGCTCATGTATGTACCATGGTTCATTTGCGGAGTTTTGTTCACCAAACGGGCCGCGTGATGAGTGCGCTGGACTAACACGGTGGCCAGATCAGGGTACGGCAGACGTTTTTCGGGCTTTTTTTTAGGATAGCAAACGCCGAACATCAGGGGACATGGTGGCCCGCGTAGGGACGGCGTCGGCCGCACCAGCCATCTGCACTCGATCCCCCCTCCGACAGTTGAACTGTCAGGGGTTGAGATAATTCACCTGCGAGTGTTATAAAACCCCGTCGTGGAAATATTGTAGCCTGACCCGCGATTTCCGACCGTAATGAATTCAAAATTTGTGTGGCCAAGTACCGTGAGGAACTTAGCTCTGGACTC